TTGTTTCAAGGCACCCCCCTGTCCCTCTTTCTCTTCTTATACGTACTTTAAGGGGATCAGAGGGGACCCCCCCTTCCTAGAGGTGTGCTGCCTTGTTGTTATATTCCCTGTTGACTTATCAGCGCTCATCCTCTTTCCCGATCTCGTCTATACTCTGTGTAAGGAACCTGCTTCACAGCTAGATCATTAGCTCTTGTAAGAGCTTCACAGCTATACTCTCTGGAGGAGAGGCCTTCCCACCGAATCTCTGAATCCATGAGTTTAGTCCAGGACAGGAAGGGACGGCGAGACCCCAACCAAGCTGCGGCGGTTCGTGGGGTCTACGGTGCTTATGGTTCTCAGCGTCAGCTAGGAAGCATCGATTGGCGGAGGTACCCAGGCAGTCCGTCACAACATGGTGTTGAGGTAATTGATGTGGCTCCTCTTGCTCTCACTATTTTCACACTGTGCATTCTAACAATTATACAGTTGGATAAATGTGTGATGTCCTCATTGCATCAACATTTTATAGTTGCTTCTTTTTCTGTTCTACATTGTAAATTTGTCATTAATGAACTGAACCTGCCAAAGGAGAAGCAGCATGGGAGCAAAATTAGTACACACACTAAAACTCCCTACAATCACACACACAAACAATCAATCAGTACAAACAGGAACACTCAGCAGGCAGCTCTCAGCCTCTTTCACAAATGCATATAACACTCACAGTCCAAATCTCTAGGAGGGGATCTGGCAACCTGCCTGGGACCAGTGTTAATTTTGTCTATAAATACTCTGCTCCTTCTTTCTCCTATTCTACAAGTACTCTGCTCCTTCTTTATCCCATTCTACAAGTACTCTGCTCCTTCTTTATCCCATTCTACAAATACTCTGCTCCTTCTTTCTCCTATTCTACAAGTACTCTGCTCCTTCTTTCTCCTATTCTACAAATACTCTGCTCCTTCTTTATCCCATTCTACAAATACTCTGCTCCTTCTTTCTTCTATTCTACAAGTACTCTGCTCCTTTCTCCTATTCTACAAGTACTCACCTATTCATGCACTCGCATCTGCAACCTCGCACTTCCTGCTTACCACTGAGTGCGCGAAAGATGAATAAAGCGTTCATCTCTCTGGATAGAGGGAGGATTCTGCTACTGCCCACCTGGAATCCTAAAACTCCCACTGGTGGGCGGTAGGAACCAGGTTGGCAACCCATGGATTAGAGGCTTTAACTAAACCCATTAGATTTTAGTCGTGTTAACCAAAAGATTGGGTCGACTAAAACTAAAACAAATCAGATGACAAAAATACGACAAACTAAATTGAAATTTAACGACAAAAGTGAATACGGCCTGGGACCCTGGGCATTGGGCTCGGTACATATCGCTTATATTAAACTGTTAATAGCTCCTGACTGAATCCTCTTCTGCAACTGTCACACTATCCTTACCTTTTTGTGTCATTTTACCTCCCTCTAGCATGTAAGCTCATTGAGCAGGGCCCTCAATCCCTCTGTTACTGTGTCACTATACCCCACTCCCTCTAACATGTAAACTCACTGAGCAGGGTCCTCAATCCCTCAGTTACTGTGTCACTATACCCCACTCCCTCTAACATGTAACCTCACTGAGCCGGGCCCTCTATCCCTCTGTCACTATACCTCACTCCCTCGAACATGTAAACGCACTGAGCCGGGCCCTTTATTCCTCTGTTACTGTGTCACTATACCCCACTCCCTCTAGCATGTAAACTCACTGAGCAGGGCCTCAATCCCTCTGTTACTGTGTCACTATACCCAACTCACTCTAACATGTAACCTCACTGAGCAGGGCCCTCAATCCCTCTGTTACTGCCACTATACCCCACTGCCTCTAACATGTAAACTAACTGAGCAGGGCCCTCAATCCCTCTGTTACTGGGTCACTATACCCCACTCCCTCTAACATGTAAGCTCAGTGAGCAGGGCTCTCAACCCCTCTATTACTGTGTCACTATACCCCACTCCCTCTAACATGTAACCTAACTGAGCAGGGCCCTCAATCCCTTTGTTACTGTCACTATACCCCACTCCCTCTAACATGTAAGCTCACTGAGCAAGCCCTGTTACTGTGTCACTATACCACACTCCCTCTAGCATGTAAACTCACTGAGTAGGGCCTCAATCCCTCTGTTACTGTGTCACTATACCCCACTCCCTCTAACATGTAAGCTCACTGAGCCGGGCCTCAATCCCTCTGTTACTGTGTCACTATACCCCACTCCATCTAACATGTAAACTCACTGAGCAGGCCCTCAATCCCTCTGTTACTGTCACTATACCCCACTCCCTCTAACATGTAAGCTCACTGAGCAGGGCCTCAATCCCTCTGTTACTGTGTCACTATACCCCCCTCCCTCTAACATGTAAACTCACTGAGCAGGCCCTCACTCCCTCTAACATGTAAGCTCATTGAGCAGGGCCTCAATCCCTCTGTTCCTGTGTGTCCAACTTGTCTGGTTACAACTACATGTCTGTTTGTCCACCCATTGTAAAGTGCTGCAGAATTTGATGGCACTCTATAAATATAATAATACCCTGCAGGATGTGGATGCACTAGAATCAGAGACACCTGATTAGTGAAGCTTTTTTCCCCAGGTGTAAAGAGGAGCTCACTGCTTCTGCT